AAGCATCCGGACAGAAGCGTGAATCCAGTTTAGTTGGTGTCCGTCCTCCGCGCATTTGGTTCTTCCCGGGGAAAGCGCTTTTCACTCCCGCTCCACGTCATCTGAGCCCGGACAGAACCAGAGCTGCTCCTGCTGGTTCGGGACTCGGGTTTGGATCTAGTCCGACTGTATTTCTCACACTAGGCTAAAAGCAGGACATTTTTTAAAGGTGAATCAATTGAATGGGCGATTGCCTATTGCCATAAAATTATTTGGTTAATTAAAGCCTAAAATAACAAATGCTGGTTCCTACATGATCACGGGGAGCACCAGGACACACCCCCATTTTTGACTCACTCTGGAGCCACACGTTCGCACGTACTTGCTCTGATGTTCGTGTGTTACATTCTCAGTATTGGCCATTGTTGGTAAAATAATTTGAAAATGAATCGCGGCTGCGTCTGAAGAACAATCTGTTACTGCGTTGGAGTCGTACAGCGCGTCATTACAGGCAAAGGAGACGCGTTTCTCCCATGATGCATTTCGAATAGTTCGTTTGGACCTGCTGTCTATGATTTGGACACGGGTTCGCGTTCACACCTGAGGAACCGCACCAAAGTTGGTCATTTGGTGCGGATTCAAGCGAAACGAGACCACCTCTTTTTTGAGGTCTCGGTCCGCTTGAGTTGGTCCGGGTCAGAGTCCGATTGACGCTTTCACACCAACGCAAACGAACCGAGCTAACCACTTCTGGTTCGAATGGACCGTTTGGTGCGCACCAAATACTGTTGGTGTGAAAGCACCTAATACAGGTCAAGGCTCACTGATGAGCATCTTCAATCTATCCTGAGGATCTCATATGCTTCCTCCTGCAAGCCAAATATCTCTGAGCTGTGCAAGATGAAGCGTAGCCAGGTTTCAACCAGCAAGGAGTAGGCAAAAGAAGAAGAGTAGACGTATTAGTTTAAACTTACGATCTGAATACTTTCTCATGTTCTGAACTGTTATTAAAGATTAAGAGAGTGTGTTGCATGTTGTTCTTTCTGTCTTTTTTTCCGTGCAACCGCTATTTATCGAATACTCAGTGCGGCCCAGCCTCACTCAGACTTTATCTAATGTGGCCCCCAGGTAATTTGAGTTTGAGACCCCTGATTTAAATAAAGGCCTTTTAACTCTACTTTTCCTTGAGTGACTTTTACTTTTTGGAGTGCCTAGATACTGCTGTGTCCAGAACTTCCAGAAGCACATTTCCCAACTCTTCAGGCACTGGTAACCAGTGCTGGTCATTTTACTTTGCAAAACTAATCTGATTACTGAGTAGTCATTTTACTCATTCTGAAAGTAATCTAGTTACTACTCTGATTGCTTAATTAAATGGATTACTATAAATTACTTTAAAAAAGGAAACACACAGCTAGGGAACAACTTATAAAAAGCCTGTAGTTATTGCCCAACACTGGTGTTGATTCATTTCAATGACAATCATTTTCAGTCTAAAGAACATTTTTAAAACCTAAAATTCTGCTAACAATACTGTGTATAAAATTTCTGAAATACATAACATTTTGTGTGTTATGCTCTGAGTTTTGAGCTGTGAGTTTAGTTATCACATGGCCTCAACAGAGATTCTTAACCACTGAATGTATTTATTTATTCTTTTCTGTCTGTGGGAAAAATGAATGGAACTGTTACTGCCGGCATGTGAAGAGGGTCGGGACTGTTGAGCTCTTTTTTACAAGTATTATGTACTGAGTAGTTTGATAAAGGACCGACTGAATGAATGAACGTACAGGATGACAGGCACTTGTGGCTGCTTGCGGGCGGGGCCTAAGATGCCGCTCCCAGGACCTTCTTGGTGTGCTCGTACACCACGTAGGAGATGCTGACAGCAGGGATGACTTTAAGAAAGTTGGGGGTGAGGCCACGGTACAGCCCTGGGACTCCTTCATGGGAGACGATGTGTCTGAACTGGCCCACCATAGTCAGCTTGTGCTTGTCCTTACTGATGGCTGTGGAGGGACAGGGCAGATAAACCTATGACTGATAGCTCTGTTTTGTCAAAAGAAATACAGAAGCACAATTACAGATAAACTCTTAAAGGAACTGTGTATAAGATTTTGATTTTAAATTTCAATATTCCCCATGTCCCCAGATTAGGGCTGCATGGATACTGATAATGGTATTGAATATGTGTGCCAATACTGAAAAATTAGCTGGCTTGGGTATCGTTTCCATCGTATCGGTTTGGCACTACCCTGGTTGGGCCTTTAACCGGATGAAATAGATCCTCCCACTGACCTTCCCACCTCTCAATTAGCTTTTCTCATGTTGTCCTCTCACACAGCAATCTACCAATTTACACAACATCCCAGTCAACCTGCTCCCTCTATCACTGCCCACTCAACTGCTCAAAGCCTGTTTATGCTCCCTCATTATTCTGATCATGCACATTGTTCATGTAACTCTTCACACACTGGTATTGTCCCTGTTCCTCTCCAAACAGCTGCTTAAAGTGAACTGAATTGGATTTAACAGGGTTAAAGTGATACGGAAAAATCTAGCCAATATGTGTACATGTGTGGCATGTTACACAGTGAGAGTTTATTCCAATTTACAGACAAATAAATGCCCTAATATAGATTATCTGCAGAGTAGTTTGTCTGTGAGTCAGTGATGCAGATGTAGTGTTTTTAAAATAGTATTGTTGTTAATAACACCCATGAGACACTCACCTGGACATCCAAGACTACACACTATTACTCTATTTTATAAAGACCTGGAGTTGTGTTTTGTTTCATTCACATGTGTTTAACAGACAAATCCTAAATATTCAGGCTGAGGTCTTCTTTCATACAGAAAACATTCTGTTTCACCTTGTGACTGCAATACAGGAAGTGTTCAAATATGTTTTTAAACTTCATACATCTTCACTGGAATCAATTGGATAATTTCAGCCCTGGACTTGCCAGTCTCTACTGAACTAACATTAAAAGGAGCTGTCACCTCTTCATGACATCACAAGATGGAACAGAGCGTTTTGGGGTATATTTTCTAAGCATGTGCTAAATTAATTCTGTAAATGAGAGTTTAGTGTCTGTACAAAAAGACTACGCTGTTTCTGCCCCGTGCACACACGCAGTCTACCTTACATAATAACTCACTGATATGCCCTGTCTGAGCCAAATCCAAAGATGCGTAAAAGAGAATCAGCAGATGCAGATGCATGAGAGATGTGTTTGGAAGCCCAGACTAAATGTTTACTGTAACCTATAGAGCTGTGGAAAATGCCCAGTCTGGGACACAATATATACTGGACATGAATTAGCGGGAGAAAAGGTGCACTAACAAAGAAGCGCGCACACGGCTTGGCCATTTGAGACTGTACACTAGACCACGTGAACCTCGCCTCCTCCCGTACATCGCATGGAGTGAGTGTGGTGGACAGGGGCACTCGCCTCTTTTGTGGAACAGGACCAAAGCATCACAGGTTTAGGTCTTTTTATTACACCACGTCTCTCTTCAAAACAGGGTAATTATTAGGATATTTTCATTTTGTGAATTAATGTAAAATCACTTTAACATACTGACATCACTTCTAATGCACTGCTGTTGCAGAAACTGGAACTTTCTTTCCAACGTTTTCCTAAGTTTTTGCTTGCATCTTGATAAATCATGCGCCAATAAGCGACATAAAGCTCATTGCATCCACTTTTTTAGCACATGCACAAACGCTTAGTAAATATATCTCTTTGAACTTTGGAGATGTAGACAAACTAATAATAAAGGATTAGTCAGACATGTGTGAATGAAACAAAACACAACTCCAGGGATGTTTTTGAGGAGGAAATAGCATTCTAACATGTCTTAAAGCACACAAGAGTCAATTTATGTGATATAGGACCTCTAAAGCATTTAAAGCAGTTACATTTTACAGGTGTGACTTGTATATGCTCTGGTCTGAGTCACAGTCACTAGCTTAGCCATAAAGGGGCTACATGTTTGGTGCCTACTATAAATGAAGTAAGTCCAGCTTCACTTAGTTTTATTTCTTTTGGACATTATAGAGCTAAAAGTCAAACTTCAAAGTGCTGTTCAAGTGCAGAGGACTGTGAGGTGGTACCTTGAGCTTGCATGCGTGTGCGGACCAGGGCCAGGGGGTAGGACGCCAGCTGCCCACATGTGCTGGAGGTGGTCCCACAGGCCAACAACACCAGAACACCTGGATCTGCTGAATCCACACAGTACCTCTGCAGCCATGTGGTCTTCAGGGTCTGCAACACATAAGCAGAGTCTGTAATCAGACACAAGGCAGTGTATACCCTGGTTTAGTGTTAAAGAGGGGGTATGACACTTCTATGGGGTTTTAACTGCTAACACATTTCATATTTAGTTACTCTCCCTTCAAAGTGTCATATGACAACTCAATCAGCAAGTTTTGCATCCTGCGTTTTATATATTTATGTGAAATTGCAGTGAGGAAGTATGGGTGAGGTAGGTTTGTGGGCTGAGATTTGGATAAGATTGTAGCCAAAAGCAAAAGTGAAAACAAGTTAAGATGTTGTTTTGTGGAGAATATAGCCTTTTCAAAACAATAAAAGGTAACATGGTGATCTTAGTATGTTACATGTTATGTGTTAGCTATGTGTTAGAAGAAGAAAAATACTTCCTCTTTAAGAACAGACTTTGTCCAGTTGACTCTGTGTAACCTTGTTTTTTAATGATGCCTTGGGATGTTTGGGTTACCTCATAGACTGCCAGGTCAATGCCAGCGTATGGGATGATGCCCAGTGTGTTGGGCAGGTAGCCCCTGTAGAATGCCCCCACACCCTCTGTTGTCAGGATGTGCCGGGCACAGTCCAGGAGCCCAGAGTACTGACCGGTTCTGCGTAGGGTCAGACGGGTTTTCAGCACCTGTCCACAATAGAAGACAAGACCAGACACCACTGTGACCATGTGCTACTTGAAGGGCCCATGTTGTGCTCTTCTGATCCATGTTGTAATACTGCTTCCTCATCATAAACAGACCTGCAGTTGTGTTTTGTTTCATTCACACATGTTTAACACACAAACCTGCATATTTATGCAGAGATCTCTTTTCTCAAACAGAAAACATACTGTTCGACCTTGTGATGTCATGTGTTAATACAGGAAGTGCTCCATTGTGTTTTTAAATTCAATACTCTTTCACTAGAATGATTTGGATCATTTCAGCCCTGGAATTAAAAGGTAAAATGTAGCTGTTAATGTGAAGACTACCACTTCATGACATCACAAGGTGAAACAGAGCATTTTGAGCTTTGGAGATGGAGACAGACTAATAATGCAGGACTATTTAAACATGTGTGGAAAAAAAACAACACTGTTCCAGGTATGTTTTAGACAGGAGTCAATTTTGAGTAATATACATAAACTGTAGAAAGTGGACTAAATGAGTGTAACTTCACCCATAGTGTTTGGCTGTGCCCAAATTTGGAACTAGGCTCTATATTATAAATAGGATTTTTTCCAGACAAAACAGCAAAATAAAAACCACAGTAAAGCTGGTTAATACGAACATTTTACAGTTTTTCTTCATTGGTTTGGCTCACTTCTTGAAACAGAAATGTCCCCAAACCACCTTGCAGTAATTCACAGCACAATCTTTTGATTTCATCAAATTGCAAATGTCTTAGTGCATGTCTCAAGTGTCTCAGTGCATCTTTGCACATGGTTCTGTACAAGTTGCCTACAGTTTGCACAATGAGCCACGTTTAGCACATTTTCCACATAAATAGATCTTGCTGATCTAAACTGATTCTCAGTCTAATGGTTGTTCTCTCCAAAACATGTCAGCATGATTTCATTGTCTAAGTCATCATCTCCACAATAGTCTGTTCAACTGTCAAAATTAGTCCAGAACATGAACATCATAAATGCATTTCTTGGAACATTTGATAAATTCATAACAGTAACTGACAGTCAGGTGAAATTTTAATTTTTCGAATAAACCTTTACAAAGGAGGAGTTTCCCACATCTCAGATGACCAATCTTGATTTAAGGAAATCAACAAGGACAACTTCCTGCTCGAGCAAGAGGAAGAGAAGGAGAAAGAAGAAGAAGAAGAAGAAGAGGAGGAGGAGGAGGATGGTGGCCACGAGAGCAACCACTGAAAGTGTTACTGTAGTTGTGAAAGTTTAATTACAGCACTGTAGGCTAGAATAAGTTTTCTTTTTTGTTAGTGTTTATATTTCATACATGTACAGAATACTGTATACATTTTTTTATGTACTCTGATGTATGGAAGTGACTTTATGTGTGTGAATAAAATGGTTAGAGTTTTGTTAGCAGTGTGAGTGCAGTGTGTGTGATGTCAAACTTTGGAGGCTGCTCGTACTGTGAAATCCTTCCATTTTGGGGGCAATGACTATTTATATGAGAAAAGAATCTAGTTTTGAAGCATGTGTGAACAGTTTTGGGAGATCTGAGCTTTTGCTGGTGAACTGTAATGTTGTGCAGAACTATCAGACTGTTTTTGCTCTTATAGTTTTAAGAATGTAATTTCTGGTTCAAGAAATGAGCCAAACCAACAGAGAAAAACTGTAAGACCAAAATAATGAGACTCACTGCAGCAGTTACAGAGAGGGGCCACAAAGTCTATGGTAACATAGAGCCTCTAAAGTCTTAGCGTTTGAGTTAGCGACTGACCTCCATGGGGTAGATGAGGGTCTGAGCGGTGGCTCCTGCCAGAGAGCCAGCCAGGAACCTTTCCTGGACTCTCAAAGGGCCTCCCTCCTTACTGCCATGAATGATGCGTTTAATCTGCAAAGTTTTATTAGCAATACACTTAAAGGCATAGCGATGGTGTACAGTAGTTGTGGAATCTTTCATGTGTAAACCTGGGCACCTGCTCATAGGCCATGAACTTGATGGCAGACTCGGGGGCAATCTTGAGGACATTAATGCCGTTTCCTCTCCACAGCGACAAGAATCCACCCTCCTGGACCATCCCCCGTAGCCCCGCCCACAGATTCTTCCCCCTGGACGTGGCCCCATGCACCTGTCACACACACACATAGACATACATATCTCAGTAAGTCCTAACACTGGTCTGGTTTTGGACTGGTTTTGGCCTGGGTCAGTCTGTGAGTCAGACCCCTCCACCGCAATTATGGTGCTACTTTTTTCTTCTTTTACTGGAGCTAATGTATTATGGTACTTCATTCTGAATTCAGATGATGACACCATGCATACACCTACTTTGTGATAGGATTATGAAATTTTGTTTTATGGGCAATAAAGGTTTAATATGACCATTCCGTGGACCTATTCTCATCACACATTGTTCAGTCTGTTCCAGTTGATTTAAATGAGTTTGTCCTTTAAGACAGGAAAAACTTGGCTTTGTTTATTTTGATCAAGGATCATTTTCCATACCTAAGAAAAAAAACAAAAAAAAACAATAATACATCTTTGAAATGTATCACAAATTCAAAATATCTTTAAACTAAAGTTTCTTTGCTTGAAAGAGAGTGGGATGAAGAAATACTTAGTTATTCCCACCCCCATATTATGCATATAATAAATTCATTTCTAGTTTGCTTCCTGTCCATACATTATAATGTCACACAGTCATAATAATAATATTCAGAACGATTCAAATTTCCAGGACAAAGCCGTTACAGCATTGGTTGATTATTATTATTATTATTATTATTATTATTAGTAGTAGTAGTAGTAGTAGTATTAGTAGTAGTAGTAGTAGTAGTATATAAATACATAGAGTGTAGAGCATTCTTATAGCTTGCTATACTGTGAAAATATGATGTTTTTATGCATTTTCTTAAATTTGTGAAGACTTGTGCATTGCTTGTGCTGTTCCCCAAGACTGTTCCACAGTTTGACCCTGCACAAAAATGGTTCACTCCTCTCAGCTGATACCTTCCCTCTCTATGTTTGAATAGTTTCTGTCTATTGCCAGGCAGTGCATTATTGTTTGTCCTATACATGGGTTTGGCTGTGGAATATTGGACAAGATTGTTCAGTTTCATTAATTTAGAATGTAAGAATAGAGAGTTGGTGTCTTCCGAATATCCAATTTTGTGAATCACCCTTATTGCTTTTTTGACGCATTGGTGGAGAGTTTAATGCAGTTTTGAAGTATGGTTGCCCCATACTTCAATACATGTGTAAGGTATGGTTGTATTAGAGCACAATAAAATGTGCAGAAGTGTGTGTGAATTGGTATACCAAAATTGATTGAATTCGTTTATTATTGAAATGCTTCTAGCTATTTTGTTTTGTATATATTGAATGTGTTGCTTCCAACTGAGTTTGTCATCTACAATTACTTCAAGAAACATAATCGCTGTTACCTTTTCAATTTCTGTGTCACTGATACAGATTTTCATCATAATTGTCACTGGAGTAAAATATGTTGGTACCATCAGCAAATAACACATATTTAAATTGATAAGTTGTTTTGAATAGGTCATTGATGTACAAAACAGGTTGGGCCCCAACACTGACCCCTGGGGGACACAACCAGCCACCACTCCACAAGCTACTACACAAATAACTTTTTATCCAATCCAATGCCATTCCTCTTACACCATATAATTCAAGTTTCTGAAACAATATAGAGTGATTTATTGTATCAAATACTTTTTTCAAGTCAATGAAAATACTGGCTGCTAATTTGTTTTGATCTACAGTCTTAGTCATTTCAGCCACTGCTTTAGTAAGTGCTAGAAGTGGAGCTTTGAGTCCTGAAGCCATGTTGACTGTCATTAATTATTATTTTATGTTTTTCAATAAAGTTTTCTAGAATTTTATTAAAGTTTCTCAAGGATCTTGGAGAATTGGGGTAAGAAAGAGATTGGTCAATAGTTTGTATAGAGATGCTTGTCACCGCTTTTAGTACATTGGTATTAGTTTAGCTATTTTCATTTCGGTTGGGAATATACCACACTTGAACAAGAGATTGATGATATAATGAGAGGTTTTAATGTGCTATCAATTGTCTTTTTAACTACAATCATATCAATATTATTATAGTCAGTGGACATTTTAGTCTTGCAGTTGTTAACGATTGGCTTCTTCTGTTTCATCTACAGGTGTCAAAAACATTGATTTTCTCCATTGTTTCTTCTGCACACAAGTCCGAAATTGTTCTCGCAAGATCAGGTCCCACTTTAACAATAAATAAATAAATAAATAAATTAATTAATTAATTAATTGACAACACTAGATATATCATAATTATCCTCATATTTATTAGTAAAATATTCAAGATATGCCATTTGTTTTTAATGTTTCTTGATCAAAGTGTTTCATATATTCCAGATTCTCTTTGCATTATTATTGTTTTCATTAAAAATTTTTGTATAGTGATTTTTTTTTTACTGGCTAATATGTTAATATCATTGAGGATTGCGCTGTTATATTAAATATTTAAATACTCCCCTCCCCATCTTCTCAGCATAATTTGTATTAAATTTCAAAATCCTGCCACTAAGCATGTGCTTTGTTCCAAATGTCACACCCATGTGGCAGTGTATGTGACTATAGCACCATTTCACATAAGGTGGGTCCACCAAAAAGGCTTATAGGTCCTGAGGCCGAAGGGGGTCAAAACAAAAGATCCCGAACTTGTGTGCAATAATGAAAAATAAGAGTGAGTAAAAAGTAGCAAAATAATCAGAGTGGAGGGGTCTTGGACTGGTCTGGTCATGTTATGGTCTGGTTCTGATCTCGTCTAGGGTTCTGATCTCTGGTTCTGGTCTCTGGTCTGACCTGGAGGAAAACCTTGAGGCGATCCAAAGGGGCAGTCCCAGTCCTGGACACAGCTCCAGCCATGGCTCCTGCCACCAGCTGCCTCCACACCAACCCCGAGCGGTGTTCCTTCTCTGAGAACTCATCTGGCACCGTCAGAGCCTCGCCTATATCCAACATCTGAAATCAAATGTTCCATCAAATGTTATTCATTTGAGCAGCATCGGGCAATTAAGGTCCTATATTAAGCAATATGAATTCTTGTTGTGAGCATCGCTATGGTAAAGCTGTAAAAAATATGACATGGATGTCAATGACTTTTTGCATCAAGGTAGCAAAATGGAATTCTGTGCAAAATGTCTGAAATTTTTGAAAAACTGAATTTTTTCCCCCATACTGGATTTTATTTCAGTCTGCAGGGGCCATTATTGCACCATTTTTTTTTTTTTTTCTTCTTTTTTCCATATTCAGTAGCTTTAGCGCAGGGAGTTCGACAACTGAAAATGTCACTGAAATTTGTTTGTGCAAACTCATGACTCATGCTTAATACCCCTAGCATAATAGTATTTTTTTTTTACTTTTTTTGTCATGAACTGTGTCAAATTTCTTTCTTTTACTTTTTCTTTTTTTTTTTTTTAACCTCTTTCGTATACCCTAATGCATCTTTGAGTTGTTTGGGGGCACTGATGATCCATTTTAGATATTTTTGTAAAATGGAAATAGACAAAAGTTAGAGAAGTGCAAGTTTTAATAGTTGGCAAAGTTTTGTGAGTTTTTGTCAGTGTTCACTGGGTGAAAAATGAGTGAGATAGTTACGAGAAAAATAGGAAGAAATAAAGAAAAAAATGCCCCGCTTTTTTTTTTTCTAATAAACTTTGGTGCATTGCAACATTATAGCAAAGGTCCCTAATCACTACAGGTGAGTCAAGTTGTGTCATTTCACTTCCCTCCCACTAGGAGCGTCACTTTGCCATACTAATAGGCCCTTCACCAGCTTTTGGCGCCTAAATATTCTGATACGAGATAATGTTCCACCTTTTTTTTTTTTTTTGGTTAAGTAGGGACGTAACAATAACCGAAATATCGTAATATCACTTTGTCAAAACAGTCACAATAATATCATGAGCCATCACAATAATACAAATCTCTTTGCTTCATTATTATAGTCAAGTAATTGTTAAAAACAAACAAACAAATAAACAAATAAAGGGAGCTACAAAGACCATAATGCTGTGCTCTGCAGTGCAGACTAAAGTGCAGAGTGAATAAAGAAATAACTGTTACAGTTGTCCTCCATTGGTTTGGCTCATTTCTTGAAACAGAAATGACATTCTTGAAACTATAAGATCATTTGGCCAAACAGTCTGATAGGTCTGCACAACATTACAGTTCACCAGCAAAAACTCAGATCTCCCAAAACTGTTCACACCTGCTTCAAAACTAGATTCCCATATAAAGAGTCAGGAGCATCAAAATTGCAGAGATCCTTCTCATTTGCTTTGGTTCTTCTGCATTCACTTAAGTGCTTTTGTCAAAAATAACCTAGATGGTTCAGCACAACACCATGGATCACCTGCAGAAGTTCAGATCTCTCCCGAAACAGTTTACCCATGTGTCAAAACTATATTCCTCTCTCATAGAAATAGTCATTGCCCCCAAAATTCATCGTCCCTTTGACATTGTGTCAGCACTGCAGCTCAAAATGCCTCAATGTTTTGTCACTATGGCAGAGGTCAAACTAACACAATACAATTATGAATAAAACTGAATAAAAAAAGGATTTCACAGTAAGAGCAGCCTCCAAAATTTGACATCACACACACTGTATTTTGTCCATGTACCAAATATAAACACAAACAAAAAAAAACAACAATTATATCTAGCCTACAGTGCTGTAAATAAAGCAAATACAGTTTCTACAGTAACACTTTCAGGGTTCACAGTTGTCACCCTCCCTCTTCTGGCCACAATCCACACGCTGCTCTCTGTTTGCTCATAGATTTACATCCACATCTCAGTGGATATTTTCTCTTGTGATGCAGTGAGGGAAGAAATGGGGTGAATGTCTCAACCATCCCCTATACTGATCCCCTGTGATGTCCTCACACACAGCATCCAGTGCATGGAGCAGGGACCTCAACAGGGTTTGGAGCTCCAGGTTCATACACTCTCCACCTCCAAGCGGAAAAAAAACTGAGCATCCTTGGATGGGTAGTGAACCAGGTCCTTATGAGCCACTGTGGAAATTCACACTGCCTCACACAATCACATAGTGTGATAGGAAGTTCTAATTTCAGCTGACTGTCAGTTACTGTCATGAATTTATCAAATGTTCCACAAAAACTCATATATGATGTTCATGGTGTTATGTTCTTGACTAATTTTGACAGTTGAGCAGACTATTGTGCATATGATGACTTAGACCAGGGGTGTCAAACTCAGTTTGGTCCAGGGGCCGTATCCAACCTACTTTGATCCCAAAGGGGCCGGATCAGAAAACTCATGTCATATAAACCCCAAAAATAACAATAAATTCAAATATTAGTGCAGAGAAACGCAAATCTATTACAGAAATCTTTTTTAATTGATGAACTCTTTCTTTTACAAAGTATTATAATATTATGAGCAACCTGAAACTTGAAGAAAAATACAATTTCATCACAATGTTTTAACATGAACTTGTATGTAAATATGAATAAGTCTATTTTTCTTGGAAAATCCTGCACTCAGCTCCACTTTTCTCATGTTGGACATTTTGTTGATGAGGGTGTCACGGTCAACAGACAAAACGATCGTCCTTTAAGAGCGTTTGAAAAGAGACAAGTCTTCATTTGTGCTGCTCTGGTGGGAGGGGCCACGTACAGACACGCTGGAGATGCTGCTGTGATAAACACCGCAGAAAATTATCAATATTTTAATAGAAAATATAATTTTTAAATATAAAAAATATAATTTTTATATTTTAGTAGAAAATCAGCCGAGGGCCAGATTAAAGGTCTTGGAGGGCCAGATCCGGCCCCCGGCCGTATGTTTGACATCCCTGACTTAGTGAAATCATGCTGACATGTTTTGGAGAGAACAACTATTAGACTGAGAATCAACTTATCAGTTTAGATCAACAAGATCTACTTATGTGGAAAATGTACTAAACGTGGGCTCATTGTGCTAACTGTAGGCGACTTGTACAGAACCATGTGCAAAGATGCACTGAGACACTTGAGACATGCACTGAGACATCTGCAATTTGATGAAATCAATGAGAAATGCCATTCTGTTGTGAATTACTGAAGAATTGTCCATGTTATTTTAAGAATGTCCTTTCTGTTTCAAGAAATTAGCCAAACCAATGGAGAAAAACTGTAAATGAATAAGGGCAACTTCGTGCTTGAGGAAGAGGAAGAGAAGAAGGAGGAAGAAGAAGATAAGGAGGAGTGAGGATGCGCGGTGGTGGAATAGGTTATTTTCGCAAAAGTACTAAGTGAATGCACAAGAGCCAAAGTAACTGAGAAGGATCTCTGCTATTTTGATGCTCCTGACTCTTTATATGGGAATCTAGTTTTGAAGCAGGTGTGAACAGTTTTGGGAGATCTGAGCTTTTGCTGGTGAACTGTAATGTTGTGCTGAACTATCAGACTGTTTGGCCAAATGATCTTATAGTTTCAAGAATGTCATTTCTGTTTCAAGAAATGAGACAAAACAGAGTGTTTTGGTTCATTTCTGGAAACAGAAAAACAGAAAAACTGTAATAACCGTTTTGAATATTAGTCCTTTGAATGATCATAGAACCATAGTCTTGTCAAGGCATTTTTTTAAAAGTAGCATATTCACTATTTTGTTAACCTTCACAAAATATTGTGAAGGTTACATCTCTACTAACCAGAAGCTTCATCGGGGAATGTAGGCATGTGCCTGTGACTCCCACTGGATGTAGAGGTCCAGATAGATAGACAGAAAGAAAGACATACAGACAGACATTTTACATCTCCAGATACTCTACATCCAGTGGGAGTCACAGTTACATGATCAGATTATATGCACATGGACTTGCAGCTGAACATCAGCAGGTGCCCCTTTAAAAGTAATCTAAAGAAGCAAAATTATATTTGCTTATTTAAAAAAAAAAAAGATGTTAATTTAAACTAAGGAAAAGTGTCCTTTTTTCTTGGTGGAGCACCTGCTACTCAGAATATGCACATCCCTGTCGGCCATGTAAAATCCCATGTGGGTAGATGTAGTGTTAGTGTAGAGTGGATGTACTGTTGCGAGTGAGAGGAGGACTCACACAGGCGTGCTTCCAGTGCTGCACGATCTCCTCCATGTTGTGCAGAGGGTTGAACAGGAAGTGCTCTCTCCACTTGTTCCAGTCAATGGTCATGGTGCCATCCTGGTCCATGCTGCACACAGCACACAGCCACAGCACACAGTCTCAACACACAGTCTCAACACACAGCCACAGCACACAGCCACAGCACACAGTCTCAACACACAGCCACAGCACACAGTCTCAACACACAGCCACAGCACACAGCCACAGCACACAGTCTCAACACACAGCCACAGCACACAGCCACAGCACACAGTCTCAACACACAGCCACAGCACACAGCCACAGCACACAGTCTCAACACACAGTCTCATCACACAGCTGAGGCATGTTGATGTTATTGCAAAGCCTAGAATGTTCTACAGTAAGGCAGTAAATGTATATATGTCCATGCAGGGGCGGACTGGCAATCTGTGCGTTCTGGAAAAGTTCAGAAAGGCCGTAGGCCGTACTTAACAGCAGAGGGCGCTAATACAATTTGCCCATTTATCAAGCATAAATTGCATAGGCCTAAAGAGGAACCCCCCGAGCACGTGCCTACAGGTCAAATGGGGCAGGAGCAACCACACTCACAATAAGAACGCTTCTTTTTTCAGGTATGTTTGAGCAACAAGACACCTGTAATTGATTTGATGCAAGATAGATATTTTTAATGCTTTACTGTGAAACATTCCAGGCAAAGCAATAACATCTTCATGAAGATAAGCAGATGAAGGATCCCTAGCCACAAAAGTTACATAAACAATAGCAATTTGAGGAGTTTGGTGACAAAAAACAACTTCAAGTTTGTTTTTGATGATCCTTATAAGCACAAGTAAATATGACGATGATGTTAGTTCTTTAAAATGCGTCAGGATTTAATGATTCTCTCATTTTGACTTAATTTGGTGGGTTAAAACCAGGTGCAAATATAAACTAGAGTTTTACACAAATCAAGCAGCAATTTGTGAAGAAAAGTATGTATGTGTGTATAATATGTTGAAAATGACAGAACGTAGACAGTTCTGTAGAGTTTAGAGAGTTCCATATTGATGACATCACACTGGGAGAATAAAGGTGTTTCTTATATTTGTGTTTGTCAAATAACACTTTGTACATTGGAGGAGTTTTGGCACAGTGTTAAACCTAAAAAATGCCAAAGCAAGAAAAAAAAAACTTAACATTTTAGTCAAATATTAACTATAATGATCTTACTGTCAGGAACACTTTAAGACAGTCTAGCGAGCAGTTTGCAGTGGAATACCAAGCCCTGACAGCAGATTTCACATAATCAAAAAGAGGGACAAAAAATCCATGCACTGTACATGACTTGAGCTCATAATGTTACTGTAATCTTCATTTCAGAGTATTATATTTATTGGTTTAGAGTCCTGGGCTGAGATTTGCGTGTAGTAGAGGACTGTCTGTGTGAGTGTGTGTACCTGTGCAGGATGCGTGAGGCCTGCTCCAGTGTCACCTCCACACCGAGCTTGTGTAAGGCATGCTGGATCTCACCAGCATCAATGCGACCTGTGCAAAGGGACATATACAGATACAAACAGAATGAAAAGGGGAACCGTGTGTGGGGAGTTCTGCACTCTGCATGTAGCAGAGCTCCTGCCACAACTCTACAGACGGCACTCTGTAGAGATCTGTAGATCTGTGTCACTGCAGCAGGTGAATATGGACCAGTGAACTCACTCTGCCACTGCTTCCATCATGTTAGTGTCTAGATGCAAAACTACTTTTTCCAGTTAAAGCAGTCAGCAGTCACCTCCAGTCTCTCTCTCTAAAACCTTCAATTCAGGGCAGAAATCTCTGGGTAACAATGGACTCAAACTTTAACAGTCACACTAAGTCAATGACATCTTCTTACCATCTAAGAAACTTAATCAAAGGAATACTGTCTAAACTTGGAAAGACTTATGCATGCATTTGTCTCCAGTATGTTAGACTACTGTAACGGCCTGCTCACTGTCAGACAGCTGCAGTACATCCAGAACACTACTGCTCAGGTCCTGACTCGAACCAGGAAGTACGAGCACATAAGTCCTGTGTTCAGGTCTCTGGCTTGTGTGACTTTGAAGCTGCTCTGCTTATGTACAAGTATCAACATAGCACCAAAGTACATCTGTGACATGTTCGTGCCATATGAACCATCTCACCTCCTGGTGTTGCCCAGAGTCAGGACTGAACATGGGGAGTCAGTGGTTCGGTTGTTTGCAGCTCTAACTTCGAACAGTCTTTCTGAACATGTGAGACAGGTCTCTACTTTAACTCTATTTAAATCTGGGCTCAAAACGATTCTGTTTAGCTGTGCATATGATTTTTATTCCTCACTCTCACTCTCTTCTCTTTTAATGTCAATTTTATGAAGATTTTTTATGTTTTGATTTGTTTGTATTGTGATTTTAATGCCTTTCTTATTCTATAAAACACTTTGAATTACTTTGTGTACAAATTGTGCTGTAAACTTGCCTTGCCTAGAGCTACACAATATTGAAATTCTTGTTAGCGATTCAGCCAGAGCAGTACCTACATTGTGTGGAATGTGTAAACCTGTCAGGTTTAATCAAGATATTGATGGCAAGATGATCAAGATGGCATAAATGGGAAGATGATGAATGATGTGATGTGTTGCAACACTGGAATCTCCATATATGTGTGTGTTTGTGTGTCCCTCACCATCGCTGTTGCGGTCCAGACTGGTGAACATGAGCCAGAGCCTCTTCTCATGAGTTTGTAAGAATTCAGAAAACTCCTGAAAGTCCAGCTGCCCATCCCGGTTTGTGTCGCTCTCTAGAACTATCTGGAGAGAGACCCAAAGTTCAGATGACACTGTTAGATTGTGAACAGTTTAAGAAGTCTTAAATATTAGAATTAGTATTACATTGCATGGTAATTCTAAAAAAATAATAATAATAAATAAATATTATTTTGGCCTCAAATGTACATTCTCCTGTCTAAAAATGTATTATTATATTGAAACAATAATAAGTTTAGTTTTTGTTTTTTTTGTAATATCAAGTTTGAAATGTGAATATACTGACAAATTGGTCTTAGGAAAATAAAGCTGTTTCTTCTGAGAGCTTAAAAGGCCTATATTCTGCTATTTTCTGATCTATATTATAATGTAGTTTCCTCATCATAAACAAACCAGGAGTTCTGATCCTGCAGATTTAGGCTGAGTTCTTTGCTCAAACAGAAAATACTAGGAAGTGCACCACTGTGTTTTTCAACTCCATACACCTGCACTGGAATCATTTGGATACGTTCAGCCCTGGAATAGATGATCTCTATAGAACAAAAGGTAGATGGTAGCAGTTAACTTGAAAACTACCAATTCACAAGGTGGAACAGATCATTTTGAGCTTTGGAGATGTAGACAAACAAATAATAACGTGTGAATGAAACAAAACAGGCCTATGGCATAAAGCCTGTCTATTTCCATGGAGACTGTTCCAAACTATGGTTTTAACTTTCTATTTACATGCAGGTGACTGTTATAGTATTGGTTAAAGTGCATATGACAGGTTTTACTAATTCTCTAATTTTGACTAAATTGAGTGGGACAATACCTGTTGAAATATATAGTTTTACACTTATCAAGCAGCAGTTTTATGAAGAAAATTTCTATGATGAAATTCTTCCATCAATCAATTCTTTCCACTAGTTAGACACAAGAAACAAAAGAAACACATTTTCTGATACTTTAAACATAATTTCAATAAAATAAAAGTGTTTTGGCCCAGTGTACAGCATGGTTGCTAGGTAACAGTTATGGCATTATATACCATGATGTCACAATTTCCAGTCAGGAAGTAAACCTAAAAAATGTCCAAACACTGAAAATTTAAATTAAGCAAAATTTTAAATACAATGGTCATAATATGTTTTAGTAAAATGAGTATTCCAGCCTGTCACAGGCATTTTATGTTCATCCACTAACCTGGAGCACCTTCTTGGGATAAGGCGTTATTACTGTTATTTGAGTTGTAATACAGGAGTGGTCAGTACATCTCATCATTTAAATCTACTCAACACCTCCCAAAAAATACTGTCAAGTACTGACAAGATAATAGTTTTATTGTACATTTGTGTTGTATTTTAGACAGACAGAAAGAGTTGTATTTTGTTTCATTCACACATGTTTGAGTAATTATAGTCTGTGCTGTCATGAGGTCTTATAGTTTGCAAGTTAACAGTTCCTTTGACCTTTTGTTCAGTAGCGATTGGAACTTCCAGGGCTGAGGTGATCCAGTTGATTCTGATGAAGGTGTATGAGTTTAAAAACACAGTGGAGCACTTCCTGTATGACATCACCAAGTGCAAGTGGATGAGTTTTTTGTTTGTTTGTTTGAGAGAAGAACTCTAAATGTGCATATGAAACAAAAAAAAAACAACTCCAGGTAGAGTTTTGAATAGTGAAATGTGGTCTTTCTCATACGATGGAGCATTACAAGCAAAGATAAATACCATAAACCCATGAAGACGAGCATAAAGGTAGCAAACCCTTCACTAGAAAAGTTCCACAGTGTACCTTTAATACATTAGCCTAAGACACAGCTGCTGCACCTTTAGCCCACACGACATTTTTTTTATTTTATTTTATTTGAGACAGAGACAGCACACAATTTTAGCAACATCAATATCACTGCCCTGTCTCCAGCCGAGGTTTGGGAGTTGTTCTGCAGATGTGAATGAATCCTAAGTGCCGTGGTGTGCGCATAAAGCTCTAGCCATTTAATCCACCGAGTGAGGAGGCTATGCTAGTGCCGTACCTCCTCCGCCTTCCCCCGGTGCACGCCACGCTTGGCCAGAGCCAGGCGCAGCTCGCTGATGTCCACTCGGCCGTCCTTGTTCAGGTCCAGCTGTTGGAAGAGCTCGGCATATCTGCGCTCTCGCTGCGGCTCCGAAGATGCTCCGATCTCCTCGCTTCCTTGGCGGTGAATCCGGGCTGTTGAGAGATCCTCGTCTTCGCCCATGTGAAAAACGTGACGCCGGTGATGATCAGCCTCTTTGTCCGCTCGATATTAACGCGAAACCAAAGACATCCGTACGGGTTTGGACAGGCGGGGGGGGCGGCCGGTGCAGAGGCGGTGTGACGGAGCTGCCCACGGGAGCTCACGGATGACAGGCTCAAGCGGATAAGCTCTGCGTCAGGTACACGCACGCACAAGCAAATCCAGCCGCGCGCCTTCCGAACAGCACTAACACAAATGTTATCCACACGAACGATTACTAAACATCATTCCGATACTTCTTACAGCGGGCGTAACACGATCCAGCTTCGCATGTCAGCACTGCACCTGTCAGCACTGCACCTGTCAACACTGCACCTGTCAGCACTGCGCCTGTCTTCCTCTACTTCTGTGGGGCGGTCAGAAGCGCTGGTTACTATGTAAATAATGGCGTGTGATTTTACAGCGTGTGTGACGTGCACTGTCCCTCAGCAGCACCACGGTCAGCACCCAGAGGATTAACGTGACTCAGCCCCACGGCTTCAGCTCTCCTCCTCCCTCCTTCTCTATCCTCTATTCTCTCTCCTCCTCTCCCCTCCTCTCTCCCTCTCCCTTCTCCTCTCCTCCTCTCTCCCTCTCCCTCCTCCTCTCTTCTCCTCTTTCCTCCTCTCTCCTCCTCCTCTCTCCCTATCCCTCCTCCCCTCTTCTCTCTCCTCCTCTCTCCCTCTCCCTTCTCCTTCCTCCTCCGCTCTCCTCCTCTATTCTCTCCCCTCCTCTCTCCTCCTCTATTCTCTCTCCTCCTCTCCCCTCCTCTCTCCATCTCCCCTCTCATCATCCTCTCCTCTCTCTCCTTCTCCCTCCTCCTCTCTCCCTCTCCCTTCTCCTCTTTCCTCCTCTCTCTCCTCCTCCTCTCTTCTCTCTCCTCCTCTCTCCCTTCTCCTCCCTCCTCTGCTCTCCTCCTCTCTCCTTTGCTCTCCTCCTCTTTTCTCTGCTCTCCTCTCTCCTTCACTCTCTGCTCTCCTCTTCTTTCCTCCTCTCCCGTCCTCTCTTCTCTGCTTTCCTATGTAACAAAGTAAAGGTAGTCTGTATTTAAGTATATATTTTAGGTATCTGTACTTTACTTTAAACGACTACATTTTAAAGTGGAAAGTGATATTTTTTACTTTTTATTTGAAAGCATTCACTTTTTGAACTGATACCCACCTTGTCCAGCCCTGCTCCAGCCTGCCTCCTAGCTATTGTAAAATAAATTCTCCTTTTCATTTGTGTATTTGGTCTGCTGCCCATTTTGTGAGTCCCTCCATTGTTGTGCCATAACAGGTGGACCTGAATAGGCTTATCCATATTCTTTGTACATTTGACAATATACTAAACAAAATTATTTATACTTAAAAAAATAAAAAAAAGACACATATGCATATAGCATACTCTGTGAAGACACTGACAATTATTCTTTAGCCCAGAAGTAGACTAGAAGTAGCCTACATTTCCCAAATACTTCTTACTTTACTCCAGTAATTTCTTGGACCACTTCGTACTTCTACTTGAGTAATATTATTCTGAGATAACATTACTCGCACATTTTTGGCCATTCCGCCCACCCTCTCAAAAGGAAAAATGTAAAAGATTTTCCTATCATACTTCTCCAATAACACATCTGACCAGAAGGTGGCGGTAATGCTGCAAAGACAGACCATGGAAGTCCACAGTCACGCAAATGTATTTTGAAAGAACTAAAATGATTATAACTTTTGGTGTACTACTACAAAATAAAAAAAGAAGAACTCTGTGTAAACTTAATATTATGTCTTGCCAAAGTTTACATCCACAAATGTAAAATTCAGAAATGTCCCGCTAACTTTGCTTGTTTTAAAAACGAACTCAGATTATATATAAAAGCTCTGAAACATATAAATGGCCCTAAACCTCAAAAAGTGTATTCCTACATGTGTGAAATACTCCTGGACTTTATGAACTCGAGCTGAATGAACGCTACTTCCCTTGCAATTATCCTTTTCTATTCCTAAATGCACTTTTTTGTATTGTGTTGTATTGTATTGTATTGTATTGTTTCTATATAATATGTTGTGTTTATGTTCCCTCATCCCAACATGTAACTGCTGACGACACACAGCCATGTTTGTTATATCAAGTTTATGCACCCAGTTGTGCGTAATAAAAAAAAAAAAAAAAAAAAAAAAAAAGAACTAAAATGATCGGAATCTTTCATTAGCCTGCCCCTTTTTCATGGAATCTTTGTGCATGCTTTGCTTGTCAGTTTCTCATATGTATGTTGATAAGAATGTATATACATGTTCATTCAAACACACGCACACCCGCAGTTCATCACGCATGCGCACTGACTCCTGACCCTCCGCCGCCGCAGATCGTGCGGACACTTCTGGATGTGTTTGTCTCCCCCGCGTCTCCGCTGTGACCCGCACACACACACCAGGAGCCCCGGAGAACATGCCTCTGCCCGTCCAGGTGTTTAACTTTCAGGTGAGCTCGATCCCGGCACAGTTTCGAGACGCCACGGGAGTACCCGGGTGTGTATCGGCCGCTGCACCGGAGCGCCGAGTCCTCTCGCTCTGCACACAGCTCCACAGCTAGCACGGCTCAAGCTAACCTCAACTGTTTGTGTTTATTACCTCGAGTTTTTCTTACTTTCCCGGAGACGCGCGGTGTTTGTTGCAGACTGTCGTATTCTTAACCCAGTTCTACCCCATTAGCTCGTCCCTCATCTTGTCCAGTAACTCGAAACGGCTCTAGCCACACGTAGATGAGCTAACGCTAGCTGTGTCTTGTGTCCTGTGGCTGTCATCATGAGTTGACAGTCTGATTTGAGTGTGTAGTTGTGAAATGAGCCGTGGTCCTTGTTTACCCCAAATAATGTGGAATGATACACATTTTTACTGCTAGATGACAATGTTGAAATGTTGTTAGCACGATTAGCAGCTAACACTAACACGGTAACTTAAATGTTGCTCTATATAACTTTTCTGCTGCTTGTTTCTATGGCGAAGTTATTGCTTTACCTGGAATATCCAATTCACAGTATAGCATTACACTTACTCCTTGTATTTATTCAGTTACAGGTGTTTAGAATCCTCAAAATTAAATAAATAAAAATAAATAAATAGAATGGATTTTCCATTCTATTTATTTATTTTTATTTATTTATTAACATAGATCGTTTTTGTGAGCGGAGGCACCTCTCCACACATCTGACCTGTAACTTGCCACCTGCTATTTCATCCAAAAATATAAATTAAAATAAAATAATTTATTCCAATATGGATCTTTTATTACACTAACTTGCATCGTTGCCTAGAGCAGGCTTGTCCCATCACAGAGCTAACTAACTGGTTTGTCTCCCTGCAGATGATGCTTTTCCCAGGAACATTCAACATAATAGCATAAAACTGATCTGATCTCCATAGAGAATACTTGATTTAAGAAGATCTCTATGGAATAAAAAAAACACAGAATCTTCAGCAGAAAAGTCATGTCTGTGGAGATGCAACCCCTCTCAAGGGCAAGAGTGCATATTTGAGTGCAATAAAAACACTTTTTTAAGATGTTGGATAGTATCTTGAGATGTATCTCTTTTTCAAGTGGTCCTTAAAATGAAATCAGTGTTTTGTTTTTTGTTTGTTTGTTTTCATGGGGCTTTTAAATTTGATGTCATACTGTATACTGCAGAGCAGTCCAGGCAAAATAACATCTTCTCCCTGGAGACAAACAAGTGGTGAACACTCTACCAGTATTTTAGCTCTCCTGTCCTTACTAACCACAATGCCTAAAGCTTCTAAAATTTAGACATTTAGCATTAAAATATGATTGTTAGCTACATCTAGGGCAATATGCCCAGAAAAAACGTGATCTCATCCATGTCACCATCTGCTATATTTGTGCTAGCTTATTGCCCATGGTATGTTTCTTTCTTTAATGCCACACTGCGCTCAAACACAGACATATTCCACACCAACTCCTCCTTATGGCTGACCTCTACAGTGCTTTGAGTGAGTGACAGGTAGTGTCATATGAAAAAGACTGCTGACTGACTGTAGCTTCTGTGCTTTGTCTCAGGGAGCTGTGGAGCCCATGCAGATAGACGCAGACCCCCAAGACGACCAACAGAATGCTCCAGACACAAACTACATTGTGGAGAACCCAACACTGGTATTTATTACTTTAAAAATATTTAAAAATAGACAATCTTTCATTTTGTTTATTTTAGGGTTGCAGTGATCTGATACTGGTATATTGACACTGATACTGAAACATTTGTTGGATCAGATATCTACATCCAAATATGGGTTAAGCTCATATTTCGGATGGACATATATTGATGTAATAATAATATTTAATGGTTATAGTTGACCCAGAAAGTCTCATAATGTTTGAACTTTTATTTATACAAACTTGTTCTGTAGGTACTTGAGAGATAAACAGCACATTTGGATCAGCATTGTCTTATTTTAGTTTAAAGGGACACTATGTAGGATTATGGAATTTATAAAATTTTCTATTGACAAGGAACTCAAGACGTGTAGTTTGTGAGACAAAAGGAAAGAAAATGTACATTTATTAACAATAAGGTAACATATTTTGTCATAAATGTCACTGATGTTTAAAAAGTGTTTTTTGACTCGTAATTGATTCCATAAGTGAGCTCCTTCATTTCACGTAGCACTGAAAAAAACAAATCTGATTGAATGATCTCGTGTGGTCTACTCCAGATGTGATGGAGGGACTAGGGATGGGACAATAAACAATAATATTGTTTATCGTGATATAAAGGGTTGTCAGTAATCATTTGTATGACATTTTACATAATCGTGAAAATCATCATCAAAGATAATGGCTATTGTTGTTTTGACTTATAACAAGTTATGATATTATTAAAATTATAATTACTTATATCCATAACATATTCATAACATATCCATAACATTAAACGGTCAGAAGCTATTCATTGTTACATTATCTGGATATAATTGTTAAACACAATTATTTTGGCCATGATAAGGTGTAAACCTCATACTATTTCCCCCTAAATCGAAAGCAAGAGTATTTTGTTTGTAGTGGATGTTATGTCCCAATGTGTATTTGCTAACCCTTTTCTTTTTTATTGTGATATATTATGCATCACTAGTATAAACCTGTTGTACTCCTGGTTGTGTGTGTGTGCGTGTGTGTGTGTGCGCGCGTGTGCGCGCAGGACTTGGAGCAGTATGCCACTAGCTACAGTGGGCTGATGCGCATTGAGAGGCTGCAGTTCATTGCAGAGCACTGTCCTCAGCTGCGGGTGGAGGCCCTGAAGATGGCCCTAACCTTTGTGCAGAGAACTTTCAACGTGGACACCTATGAGGAGATCCACCGCAAGCTCACAGAGGCAACACGCTTAGAAAGGCACGTTCAATACATTCTGTCACTGTGATTGGCGTGGCTTTTCTATTAGAGGGTATACCACATTGCATGTAAAATAATACATTTAGTGGACATTAGATGCTTGCCAAAAGCACACATATCCAGAAATCTCAACTTGAAGTTAGCCTTTACCTTAGATGCCTGTTTTTTACACAATAATTATGATCTATAATAAAACACCAAATGTTTTACATACCCTTTAATCACTTTTCACTCTGCTTTAATCTCACCTAGATGTGGTTAATGGGTTGGTACCAGCCTAACCCTCTGGACTCTTCGTAACTTTAAGGGCCATAGAAAAAATGCAGCTGGAGCTGGACCCAGAATTCTGAAATCTTTCCCTGCTATTTTCTGTGCAGAAAATAATACCATACTGTGAAACATTCAAGGAAAAGCAATAGCATCTCCATGGACACAAGCAGATGGCAGACCCTCAGCCAGAAGTTACTTGGTGTTTAGTGCTTGCTAGTATGGCTGTTTCCAATGCCTATTTGAATATGCAAATTTAGCTGACTTGTAGTTTTTGTAATCACTGATTATATTCATTTAAATGTTACTTAAACAAAATACATTTATTATTATTATACAAATTGTCACTGCTTGCCTCATCAGCTGAAGCATCCTTTCACCTTCCAAATCAAATTGTGTGTGCTTTATAGAGAGGCACAGGCAGTACCTGACACAGTACCAGACGGGGGCGCTGTTCCCCCTCCTTTGGACTCAGCGTGGGCTGAATCGACCAGGAAAAAGGCTTTACTCAAACTGGAAAAACTGGACACGGATCTGAAGAACTACAAAGGCAACTCCATCAAAGAGAGCATCAGGTATTGCATTTGCCCTGTTATGGAAAACATCATTGTTAGGGCTATGCCAGTGGTGGCAAGTAACACACTACAAAAGTAAATGTACTGTACTCAAGTACAATTGTTTTTGGTATCTGGTGAATAACCTGATAATCTTTGAGCAGGAGAGGACACGATGACCTGGGTGACCACTATCTGGACTGTGGTGACCTCAGCAATGCCCTCAAGTGTTACTCCAGAGCCAGAGACTACTGCACCAGCGCCAAGCACGTCATCAACATGTGCCTCAATGTCATCAAGGTACAGAGGGAGAGGGAATACATCGCCTCTTCTCCACTGGCACGCTTGGGGGCATCTTGGAGCGGGTCTGTTTTGTACGGTATAACCAGCCCAGTTGTGTTTCCATGCTCTGGGCTCCAGTTCCTTTGGCAGAGCTCTGCTACATGAGACACTGACATCACCCAAACAGAAGTCATGTTTCAAATTATACTTTCACAAAAATATGCTTAATAATTCCAAGTGACACATTGTAAATGTCTTTCTTGTTTTACCATTAATTGAGGGAAATCCAAATTTTCCTGCAGTAAACTATCATTTCCATTGCATTTTTCAGTCAAAGGTGTCAGTGCAGCAGTACAAAAGGTAGGTAGGGTCAGCAGATTTGTGTCAGGGCAGTCTGAGGAAAGAAAGAGCCAAAAGTGTGCCTCCTTTATGTCCTGCAGCCCGGGCATCACAACAGTGTCCAGGGGGGAGGGAGATTAACACTGCTAGAAAGGCCTTGTCCTTACTCTGCTCTGGTGTTTCAGTTGGGGACGAAATGTAAACATTAAACTACTGCCTGTTTATGATCAGCTTTTTCTGCATTTATTTCACTTCTCTGTGTCTACATTGCATTTTAAAATGTGCATATTTAAAAGTGTGTAACAAAAGGCTACTTAATCATTTCCCCTGTTAATCCCATTTCCATCTAAGCATTGGAGTGTATAATTGTGTGTTTATTACCTGGTCAGATGACCCTGTCTTTTGTGTGCTGTGCTTTCTCAGGTCAGCGTTTACCTGCAGAATTGGTCCCATGTTCTAAGCTACGTCAACAAGGCAGAATCCACCCCAGAGATCGCAGAGGTGAGTCTATGCCGTCCATCCTGGTAAAGAGGCACTGTGATATGTTAAAACTGCCTTCTGCATGTTTCAGTGGAGAGTCTACTGTTTTGTCTGCAATGTTCCACAGTATATTCAGTACCTATCTTGTATTTATTTAAAGGACATCTATTATGCAAAATCTACTTTTCAGAGCTTTTAATCATGTTTTAGCAGTTCCCGGGTATCATTAGCAGTATCACTTACCCTCTGGAAGTTGTATTTGGAGTGATTCGTGCATGTTTGACTTATCTTTACTTTGACTTATCTTTATCACTTATTTTCAAGACAAGATATTGCCGCTTATGCCCTGTTCACCACCACGGGCACATGCCCACTGTGACGTACTAACTTTGTTCTACAATTTTATTTCCTCACTTAGTGATACGTGTAGTATTTGGCAGCTTAGCGTAGTTATGTAGTCATTTTGGTGCAATTTCTTTTTTTTAATCGCTGCTCACTGGCGTGATGTGCAGATATCCAGATGAGTTTCCGGTGTTAAGGATTTGTTGGTGGTGATATGTCACATGTGGAGATGTGGGTGTGACTAGCAAGGACCCAGCTTCAATAAACCTGATATTTTGTTTTAAAGGTGGTATCCATGTTTTTTTTTTTTTGAGTGCATATCATTTTATTAAATCATTCCAAAGGTATCTAAGCAGCAAAGTAGGCGTGTTAGCTCGTTTGAGCATGAATGTACCAATAAGTGCTTTGGCCCGTTTGCTTCAATTCCAACAGAGACAGGAAATACTCGCACATACTGTGTGCCTCCGATAGACAAACCTTGCTCCCACTGCTTTAGTGCAGGCTAGTCGGTAAATCCATATCTCCACTTCAGACAGGGTACAAAGGAAACCATATAAGAATGTTTACATTTTATTTGGACAGTGCCCCAGATGCCCTGGGAGAGGTATCTGTGCAGATGTCTGTGCGTCTGTCTGCAGAGGACTGCTATCTGTGGTGTGTGTGGTATGAGCCGTGTACACACCGGCCCCAGCAAATTCGTAACACCAACTCAGCGGGCACTGCATCTTTCTGAAGCGGCAGTCGGCGGACTCTTTCTTTTAATTAAGTGGTTTTAAATGACTATTTAAAATGCATAAATAATAACATAGTGATCTACAGATGTCGTGCATTTTAACTCTATAACAAGCTCAAAGCACAATATGTGATTTTTAAAGGGCCCATATTACACTGTTTTTTGCTCTGCTATAATGTTGTTTCCTCATCAAAACTTACCTGGAGTTGTATTTTGTTTTATTCACACTTTTTAGACTGAATTCTTCTCTCAAACAGAAAACACTTTTCAACCTTCTGATATAATGTTATACAGGAAGTGCGCCGCTGTGTTTTTAAGTTTTATGAGAATCATTCTAGAATCATTTGGATGATTACAGCCCTGGAATTTCTAGTATCTTCTGAAGTTAAGGCAAAAGGTAGTTAACATTCTAACATGGCTTAAAGCTCACAAGAGTCCATTTTTTGTAACATAGGATCTTTAAATTTGGGCATTTTTATTGCTCAAAAACACCTTGATACATGCATAAACATGCATTCTTAACTGTGAGCAGGAAACGTCTCTGGGTAAACAAACAGGGAGTATACTGTCCACCAGAAGAGTTTCATAGAGCACCATTAAGTGCTCATTGTTGCAGTGTTTTTTTTATGATTTTCTAAAGATGTTCACTTTTTCAGCAAAGAGGCGAGAGAGATAGCCAAAACCAAGCAGTTCTCACCAAACTGAAATGTGCTGCTGGTAAGATGCCACTATGTGTATATGAGTAACATTATGGGATGCCAGTGCTCATACCTGTTTGTCTGTTAAGGTTTGGCAGAGCTGGCATCTCGGAAATACAAACCTGCTGCCAAGTGCTTCCTGCAGGCCTCCTTCGACCACTGTGACTGTCCAGAGGTGAGCCTTGTTTCCTCTGGCACTGTAAGCGACTGACTTCATTCAAACACCTTTGTTCAAATGGGTTTGACTAATATTAAATGTGGCATTTGCTAGAAATATAATATTTGCATGCACTGGTTTTGTTTTGCTAAGTATATCACCTCAACATATGAGGTGAGGTGTGTCACGACATTTACTATATTGCCTTATCATTCAGTATATGAAAATTATATATTCCTGTGCTCATTATTTATCACCTGTATATTTTCTTTGCATTAATGGGGAGATTTTTGTTATTTTAGTTGTAATACTATAAAATCTGAGCTGTACAAAGTTGAATAAGTGACCTCTATGGCCATTTATTTGTTGCAACACATGCCTTTAAATGATACTCATGCCCATTTAAAATAAATTGTTTACTGAGATTCTTCAGCTTTACTGTTATGTCAGTAAAACAGTTTCAGAATTATCATTTATTATCTATATTTCTCTGTAATGATGTATTGTGCTTCAAAAGGTATTATCGTGACATGTCTGGTTGCACATAGGTGTTCCGGTCTGACTTTTGTAGATATGTTTCAAATCCCCTGACTGAGTATGTGCTTTCTCCAGCTGCTGTCCCCCAGTAATGTGGCGGTGTACGGAGGCTTGTGTGCTCTGGCCACTTTTGACAGACAGGAGCTCCAGCGTAATGTGATCTCTAGTAGGTGAGTGTGCAGAGCAGGGTCTTTCAAAGACCAACGCTTGTGGCATCTCTACAGCTCTGTCTTAATGTCCACACTCTTCCCTACTTAGGGCACCCCACGTTTAGGGGTGTCCGAATGTCTAGTTGGTGAAAAAGTGAAAAAGTAGTTCTCTAAAAATTTCCCACAATACACAGTGGAAAGTAGTGTCCAGCTGTAGTCACTGGACTGGTCAATATTGACCGCAATGCAGGACACATGCAGGTCTTTAACAACACGACTGAATGAAAGCAGATAAGAGCAGTGGTTTATCACACTGTTGATCCTGATTATGAATAAGCCACTATTAAATAAACAGTTATGGTCTAACTATGCTAGTGTTAAAAGATTGGTAATTTCCACATCTCAGAAAAAAAGATGAATTATCCAGTCAGTTTATGTGAGGTCAGTCTGACAAAAACATGTAAGGTTGTTATTGGTCCATAAATAAGCATATACCAGGCTGATTTGATCATTATTTATTACAGAAATTAAGTTTTATCTGAGTTTTTAGGTTTTTTTCACCAAGGCATACAAGTCTCATGACCCAAAAGTAGTGAGCTGTGAGTCTGTGTATAATGAATGAGGATTAGGAGCTAGGTTGGACATTTGGACATAGCCAATCTCTAATGTTTGTCTTTGTCTTCAGTTCCTTTAAGTTATTTTTAGAACTGGAACCTCAGATCCGTGACATAATCTTTAAGTTCTACGAATCTAAATATGCATCCTGTCTCAAACTGCTGGATGAGATGAAGGTAAGGCCTGCTTTGGTGGGACGTCTAAGCAGTTTTCTTGAGCAATAGTACTGAGGTGTGTCTTGTGTGCAGGATAACCTCCTCTTGGACATGTACCTGGCTCCTCACATAAAGACCCTGTATAGTCAGATCCGGAACAGGGCTCTGATCCAGGTGAGTCTCCCAGATGGCACATCCCATGTGGGCTAGAATCTTTTCATTTATATTGGCAAATAATGTCTTCCAAAATATGAATATTTCATTGTCTCAGCACTAATCTGTGGAATACCCAAAATCTTAAACTACTGTATTTCAATGTATTTAGTTTGAAATTGGCTTGAGAACGCACGCTATTATTCTGTTGGTTTTAATACTGTAATTATAACAAAATAATCAAGTCAACAAATAAGTAAACTATAGTAATGTGCTGACAGAGATGTTGAACTTTGTGCATTCAAATGGCCACTTTTCCCAACAATGCATCTTGAAAAGTAATTTCCAGCAATGCTCACTAGACTACAGAATGTCCTTCTGAACATGACTGAATGAAAGCATTTAGGAGTACTGTTTCTGTGCACTTTTGACCCATGATTATGAATAAGACACTATTGAAGCAGAACTAACTTTAGCAGTACAGCTCCAACTGCTGCTCCCTTTGCTAGAATACACTTTATGAAAACAAACCCTATCTTTTTTATAATAAAAAAAAAAATGAAACAGTTTATTCAGCCCTCAGTCCAAATGATGACTAATCCACTCTGTTTGATATTTCACATGAGAGGCATAATTATCATAAGCAATTATCACACTGAAAATCCAAATCTGTCTATTGAATGGGGAAAGGTCGCCACCAAATCAGTAATGAGTCATTTGCACAAAACCCATGAACTGCAAATTTTGTCAAAGAATCTTTCCCTGTTTTGAGCTGTTTAAAATGGCATGTAGCGGTAAAGACAGTTGTGAGATTAACTGTTTGTACTTCTTTGTGCAGTATTTCAGCCCGTACGTGTCAGCGGACATGACAAAGATGGCGCTGGCCTTCAACACCACAGTAGCAGCTCTGGAGGACGAGCTCACCCAACTTATCCTAGAGGGACTCATCAATGCTCGGATTGACTCTCACAGCAAGGTCACTGTTGCATGGAACTGGGGGAGGGGCTGCAAAAAGATTCAATACCCAGATACTAATTCATACTAAAACTAGCAATCAAACATTTCTCGTTGATGATAAGCAGAACTAGTATGAAACTATATGGTTACACTTTTTATTTCTTTGAAACTTATGGATACATTTAAATTGTTTTCAAATCACGTACAGTTGTCCCTCACTATATCGCGGTTTGCCTTTTGCGGTCTTGCTGTTTCGTGGATTTTTTTGTGTGTTTTTTGAGACTTAAGAGAGAAAACCCCGACAGTGAGTCCTGTTGCAGTTCTGGTTTAGTCCTGGTTTACTCCTGTTTTAGTCCTAGTTCAGCCCTGGTTTAGTTCTCCTCTTCAGTCCTAGGTTAGTCCTGGTTTAGACTTGGTTCAGTCCGTGGTGTAGGCAGCGTTGTTTCATATAATCTCAGGTTAACGGGCGGGTGCGGTGCTGTACCTACTGCGCGGGTGCGGTGCTGTACCTACTGCGCGGGTGCGGTGCTGTACCTACTGCGCGGGTGCGGTGCTGTACCTACTGCGCGGGTGCGGTGCTGTACCTACTGCGCGGGTGCGGTGCTGTACCTACTGCGCGGGTGCGGTGCTGTACCTACTGCGCGGGTGCGGTGCTGTACCTACTGCGCGGGTGCGCGTCTCCAAAAATTGACTCATGCAGGACTCTGTGCTGTAGGGCGCCATTATGGATTAAATGAATCTTCGGTTTGTTACATAAAGGAGGAAAATAACACAAGTACGACAGCAGCAGTAAGTTTTTAGAAGGATGCAAAAAGGGTTGTAACTGTCCTGTGTGAGTGTATAAATTGTGTGGTGAGGGGTTTTACAGACTTAAGACAGATATAATCACTGTAAAATATAAAGTTGACTACTTTGCGGGTTTCACCTATCGCGGGGTATTTTTAGAACATAACCCCCGCAATAAATGAGGGAACACTGTAGTTCAGTATTTTCTTACACTTCATCTCCCATGGCTATATACGTCTGTAGTCATGCTCTTGTTCTCTTACCACGTGTGTACCCTTTAGATCCTATATGCCAGGGATGTGGACCAGAGGAGCACCACGTTTGAGAAGTCTCTGCACATGGGCAAGGAGTTCCAGCGGCGAGCCAAAGCCATGATCCTCAGAGCGGCTGTCCTCCGCAACCAGATCCATGTCAAGGTACACCATGTGAGCCCTTACACCTGGCCCCTTACACATGGGATTTGTCTGCTATTCATTTCCATCGCTTGATTTACAGACAAATTACCAATACAAAAAAATAACAGGATCATGCAGAGCAGATTAATACAAATATTTTAAGACCAAAATTATGAGCCTGACAGCAGAAGTTACAGGGATGACTGTTTTTCAGTAGAAAGTGAACTAAAGCCAGAGTCAGTGGAGCTGGAAGTGTGCTCGTGCTCACTTCCTATGTGGAATGGAAAGACATTTGGAAAGCTATGTCCATTTACATACAGTATATACAGTCTATGGCCTGGCCCCTCACACCTGACTCCTAAATCTGACCCCTACTCTTGACCCTAATGCTTCTGGACATATGTAAACATTGAACATAATCCTAGTATTAAAACCTATATTGTAAATCTAGTTCATTATATTTTTCTCAAATCTCAAATAACTGCAGTTGGACCTCCTGCTCATTTGTATGTAAAATCCCTCAGCTGTCCAGGTAGAATCTATGGCAAAGAGAAATTCAATTTGGTTGAAAACGTTTCTCAGCTCATCCAAGCTGCTTCTTCAGTTCTGGTCAGACGCTGGTGGACAGTGCCTTATATCTGCCTGAAGGGAGGAGCTAACTACACTGAAACTACTCTGAAACTAACACCTACTTGTTTCCAGTTATTGTTTGTTAGCTCGGCCTATTCATCTGTGTCTGAGTGAGGGGTCTTATTAGCCAAATCATTCAGGTCCAGATAGACAGATGAGGTCTGAGGCCTCCATTTCTGTTCAAGGAAGGGTTGTATTTTCTAACAAAAATAGCCTTTTTAACTCCCTTCACAAAACAATTATTTTCTTTGGGGAAGATACGTTTTCAGCCTATATAAATGTTTGTCTAGTTGACAAATTGAGTTTCTCTTTGCCCTCCTGCTCAGTTGTGTCTTTTTGTGTGTCCTTGTGTGTCTTCAGTCCCCGCCCAGAGAAGGCAGCCAGGGCGAGCTGACTGCCGCCAACAGCCAAACCCGAATGAGCACCAACATGTGAGACCTCCGCTGGACCTCTCACTTGGCCATTTATCACATGTACCACATATTGTATGCTTGTCTCCACATGGACATATTTCTGTTTGACTCTTTTAAATAAATAACAAAATCATGTCAAGTGTACTTTTGTCTGAACAAATATGTGTGGCCACTCAGGATAGAAACTTTTGAAAAGGTTTTCTGGGCGAGCCTGTGTGGGGTTTGCAGATTCCCTGGGTCAGTTTCCTCCATCGGCCTCACAAATCCTGTCTGCTCCAGCTGTAATCATCCTGACCATGTACAGCTTCAGATCTGGAGATGGGTGCCTGCACTGCCATCGTCTACTGCTCCTGACAGGTTGCTCCAGCAGCAATAAGGATGGGTCAAATGTTACATAGAGTATAGGACTAATTTATGTGTCAATCAAGAAAGAATACCTGCATAAACATTGTGACTTCTTGTATAACCACACTATTCATTTTTGCAGTAACATAACCAATATTAGTTTCATAGTTTTAGTAGTTTTTTTTAGTTTATTTGTCAAGGACCATGTACTGGAGCATTAATCAAAGAAACATTGCTTTGTACGAGACTGTAACTCAGAGCTATTTTCCATATGCAGTTCCTGAGACAGACAAAACATGGAATACAAAAGTAGCAACTAACAAATAAAAAGCAACGTTTCATGTCACCCATCTTTGTTACTCGTTACATGTCAACAATACACTCATTCTGTAATTTGATCTTAACAGTTATGCAGAAAACAATGAAACATGAATTGCATGTGTATTTGTATTTATTTTTTGTTATTGTCTATTTATTTTATTTTATGAGTGCAACATGGACAAGAAACCACGACTAGCGCCACATTCAATAGGCTAAATAGGCTGCGTCAGGGACGTCACTAGACCCTTTCTAAATCCTGCCCCAATAAAAAGCACCCACCCAGATCACGCACAACAGAAGAGCGCAACAACATGAGAGGAGCGCTGTACCGTTCATAGATGATGATCGGAAGTCTACAGCGGGGGCAGGTTATAGAACTAAAATCAAATCTACTACACTAGACACTATAGACTAAAAATAGACTCTTGACTTTTGCATCTGCGTGTTCAGCTTCGCAAAGAGGGCAGCTGTATCCCTTAGGTGCAATATGATTCCCAGCTCCAAAAGCGAGGGAACACAAAACAGGACATGGTGTTTTTCGCGCATGGAGTAGCTCCGTTCTCGCTCCTGTTTGAGCGCTGCAGAGTGGTGCGTAGAGGGGCTTGTGGCATCGCAGAACACGCGCGGTGCATCGCTTGAGCGCGTGCGTGCGCGCTTCTTCGCACACACCCGCTCAGGTTGTAAACAACTATGGAGGAGTATGCAGAAATGACTGAGAAGGAGAAAACTAACTCTGAACAATTACAACTTAAAATAAACTGAATAATACAAAATGAAAATACAGATTTGGCTATACATTTTAATGATTTTTATTTATTTTTTAATTCTGTACTAAACTTGGCAGATGCTTTTTCAGAAACAAATTGCACTCAAGATTACTATAGAGATTAATCCTTGTTTTGGTTTTTTGTTTTGTTTTTTGTTATGTAACAGATGAAGTAAAAATCTCAAAAGTAATATCCAACTGGTAGTGGCTAAATTTCCCTTCTTGTGTTCTGTGAGTTCTCCTTTTCCTATTCATGAAATGAACTACTTTCAGACGGAAAGAACGAGTCTACACGTGTTTAGGTTTTAACGACGGTAGAAAACTGTGTGTTCGTCCCGTCTTTTACTGAAGTTCTCACACAAGAGAAAACAGAGTAACAGTTTTCCCTTACATCCATGCGCGAGCTCAAAGCGCCAGCTCCTATTGGCTATACATCAGGAAATTCTAAACTAATTAATCTGAACTAATTCTAACTAAATTAAAATGACATTAAATACAAATGATCAAATATAGTACTGTAAATGTAATGTAATCCTAAATATGCAATAACATCCAATTATTATATATAAAATAAATTATAATATTAATCTGAATCTGAACTGAGTCTGAGCCTAAATTGCAACATAGAAAATGGCACCAACACAACTTAAATAATACCAAAACTAGAGAATTTTTTTTATTGACACTGCCTTTCTAAAAGAATTCAAAGAGACTTTAACCCCAGTACTAATGCATGTTAGTACATCAGAGACCCACAAACCATGTTTAAAGTGGCCCCCCCAAAAAATTAATTAACTGTCTTTTTCTCTTGTTTACCTTTTAGTGGAGCTGTTAAGGACCAAAAAGGTGCCCAATTGTTCACTTTTATGGTACAAGCATGAAACTTTGCCAGATTATTAACATCCCTAGGACCAACATTTCTGGATATGGAACCAAGCCCAAGTCGACCCTGGAGCCGAGTACCGCACATGTCATAAAATGGCTGACATGGAAATGAGGCTGGGAGCTCAGTTACTGCTTAAACCTTCTTTTTTGGAAAATAATGTTAAATTATCATATCAAGATACTAGCTACTTTCAGTGCTGTTTTTAAAGTGAAAGTAAACATTAAAAAACAACAACAACAACAAAACTACTAAACTAATGGTATTTTTTGGTGCATCAAGTAACTTTTCTGGTCTCCATGGAGATGTTATTGCTTTGGATTGTTTCACAGTTTGGCATTAAACATTTCTATCTTCATGGAGACTAAACAAGGCTAAGTTACAGGTCAGATCTGTGGAGAGGCGACCTCGTTCACAGTCAGAATGCCTGTTTTTGTAGGTATTTTTGAGATATAAAACCACCTGTAATTGAATAAATATAAGGTAGATCTGTTTAATGTCATACTGTGGAACATTTCAGGCAGAGCAGTGACATCTCCATAGAAACAAGCAGGTGACAAACCCTGAATCAAAAAGTCACACAGTGCATCTTTAATAGCATCATTTACTGTTTCTAGTGCTGTTTTGGTCATTTTAGAGCAAACTAGGTAAATTAGCAATAGAATCTGAGCAACAATGTGTAAAAATGACAGTGTGTGAACTCCAGTGGCCTCTGTGGTATCAAGTACTATGTGACATCACGTAGAACTGCCCTGATTACAGCCTGGTGTTTCTGTTTACAAATCCCTGGCTGTAGGAGAGGAGTGGAGTTTGTACTGTGGATGCCTGTTAGACCAATCACACTGTTCCTTATACCCCCTAGGCCCGCCCCTCTCTCCTTTAGTCCTCCAGGTACCACTCAGTTTATCGTCTCGATTTGCAATGTGTTTGTGGGCAGAGTTTAAGTGTTTAGTCCCGCTTCAAGGCAAAAGTAAAACTTCATGAAAATAGTTTTGTGTAGGTTTGATTTTCTATCTTCATTTCTCTCTCCCTCCTAATCTTTCTTTATCCTGTATATTCAATGGATCAGTCAGCTCTTTTGTGAGTAAAACAACAACATGGATAATTAAGCAAATTAAACTGTAAAAAAGGGATTGTGCAGTTTGTTTGTTTTTTTATGCCAGCCTCATTTTCATACAGTCCATTTTGTGACATGCACAGTTCTCAGCTCTGGTGTTAAATTAGACTTGGTTCCATATCTAGAAATATTAGTCCTGGGGGTGTTACTAATGTGGCAAAATTTCATGCTTGTACCATAAAAGCGAACTATTTGGTCCTTAACAGCTCCACTATTTGTTTGTCTCCTCACGTAAAGCATCTTTGAGTATCTTGAAAAGCTCTATACAAGTGTACTGTATTATTATTATTATTAAGTCATAAATCAGTCCATAAATGAGAATATTTTTCCAACAATCTTGAAAAAAAAAAACAGTACTCAAGCCAGTACTCAATGCAGGGGACAAGCTACTGTGTAATGCAGACATGTCCAAACTATGGCCCGTGGGCCAAATGCGGCCCCCAGACAATTTTTTCTTGGCCCATAGGCTTCCAGGTGAATTGGCCCAAATTACCTTGCATCAATTAAAAATGAACTTTTTCCTGTAAGTTTTTTGAAAATCTACCTTGATAAAACTAAGTATTAAATATTTAGTGTGTGGCTTTAATGATCTTAGCATGAAGAAAGTCTGATGGTTCATTCTAATGTGTTAAACATGCACATATTTCAATTATTCACTATATTGAGCATCAGTCTACGGCCCTTGGTCGGCCCTCTGCTTTGTCTGTGTTTAGAGATGTGGCCCTTGATGAAAAAAGTTTGGACACCCCTGGCGTAATGTATTCTGTAATGTATTTGAAAGAGCAAAATCACATTTCATATGTCCCTATTGGTCCCTGTAGAGGGCATTACGCAGTGGTAATAAACACAGTCTAAAGACGCTCCTGCCTTGTTCATGTCTCTGCTAAATGTATAAACAATATAAGAACGTTACATGATGTCAGAAACCTGTTGAGTACAGTAAGTAAACTGCGTAGCCATGACAATGCAGTTTGATCACCCGAAGACTGACTGGGACGCGGCAGATTTGTATCAAGAGTTCCAAAGATTTCAGAGCCACGTTAGCTCCATGTTCGCAGGACCTGTCCTGTCTGCGCTGGAGTCCAAGCAGAAGGTGGGCTGGATCGGTACGTGGATTGGCAAACAAGGGAGAGAAATCTACAAAATGCTTGAATGGGCTGACGGTGAAAAGGATGATCCCATTAAAGTCCTTGACAAGTTTGCCGGATCGAGGAAACAAGATGCAATGGAAACTTTTGATCACTTTGTGAAAGATTTAAGGCTACTATTACTGGACTGTTATTATGCTGACTCGGATGACATGTTGATAGACGCCATAATAGTGGGTGTGAGAGAAAAACGCGTCCAAGAGAGGCTGCTTGACAAAGGTGAGGAGCTTACACTGGCCAAAGCCACTGAAATGCCCCAACAATTTGAAATGTCACAAAACCAAATGCGAATTGTGAGAGAGGAGGATGCACAGGTCTCCGCCAAGCAAACCAAAGTTTAACACACTGAACAAAAAAAGTCACATTAAGCAAAAACCCACACAACCAAGACCAAACGAGCAGAATAAAACCAAAAACTGTCCAAAATGCTGAAAAGACCCCAAGTACAAGTGGAATCAAGGTAAATGCCCAGCAAAAGGCTCCATTTGCTCCTGCTGTCATAAACCAAACCACTGAGCTTCAGTTTGCTGCAGTGAGTGCAATGAATGTGGATTTATCAAATGACATTAGTGAAGAGGAAATACTGGACATCAACCTGACTATAGATGCAGTGCCAGTAGCAACACTGGCAGATAGTAAGTGGTTGGTCAGCACTGACGTTTTGTCGTGGAAAGTGCAGATTAGGATAGATACAGGTGCAAAGTGTGACTCTGAACTGTTACCAGTCTCTAGAGCACACAGGTGAGCTGAAAGCCTCCAAAAGACTGCTCAGAACCTACTAAAACCACAAAATAAAGCCTGTTGCAGCAGTTGATCTACTGTTAAAGCACAAAGAGCACAAAACTAAAGCAGAGTTTGAAATAGTGGACATTGCACAAGAGAATGTACTGAGTGGTACAATAGGCCTGATCATGAGACTTGACTCTTTACAAGACAATAGAACTGCAAACAAAGTGGGCACAGTTAAAAACACTGCCACAACTGCAGGCACACCTGCTGGTCTTGAGAACTTCCCAGAGCTGGCACACACTCTGGGGACGCTATCATTTAAATACACAATAAAGATTGATCCAAACAGAAAACCCATGGTACATCCTGCGCACAGACAACCAGTTGCACTCAGAGCAAAGATCGTGGAAAAGCTAAATGAGATGGTGCAAGATGGCTACATTGCCAAAGTTGATCAACTGAATGGATTAGTTTAATGGCCTTAGTCACAAAGACAAAATCAGAATCTGCATAGATCCAAGAGACTTGAACAATGCTATGAAACGAGAGCACTGCCCCATGCGCACAACAGCAGAAGTTGTGTCAACAATGCCAAATGCAAAAGTGTTTTCAGTACTGGATGCAAAGTCAGGGTTCCTACAGAATGAATTGGATGAGGCTTCATCATTCCTGACGACATTCAGCTACCCCTAGTCCGGTGGCTGAGGTTATCGTTTGGCATTAAATGTGCACCTGAGATATTTCATCATATCATGGAGCGAATGCTAGAGGGCATCACTGGAGCTACTGGCATTACACCAAAACCACCAGAGACACCAGCAGCTGAGGAGCAGCAGTGTGCAGATGTCTCCCCAGAGCCCCCATCTTCACCCTCTATGGTCCCACAGCACCCACAAGCTGAACCAGATGAACTGTATCGTACCAGGCGGGGCCGCACAGTGAAAGCACCAGATAAACTGAACTTATGAACTCATTACATTCAATGCACTGTTGTAGTCAGGGGCAGGCGTTGTATGGATGCCTGAAAGGAAGTGATGTGCTAGTAACCTCTCCATCCTAGTTTAGTTATGTTATTTTTTTTAAATGTTTCATTATTTAATTTTTCCACTGTTTTAACCTTTGAACATAATAATAATGGGTTAGCTATTTGTACTATTCTCAGTCAGTTACATTTTATTACTGAGAAAGGGGACGTATTCTGTAATGTATTTGAATCGTGAAATCACATGTCCCTACTAGTGGGAACCAGTAGGGACTAGAACCAAATGTATGTTTTGAAAAGCACATCAAAAAGTTAGCAAACACTATAAAATTTAACATGGCCAAATACAGATACATCAGAAACTCCCTGACTACTGAAGCCTCACGTGTCTATCTAAATATAATGATAATGCCACACTGTTCTTTACTGCATAGCAAGTTGGTCACAGGCTTGTAAATCAGCTCTGAGGCCTCTAGAATCATTATATAGAAGCCTCTCAAGACCCATGACAAGAAAAGTCCACCGCTGTCATATTCTTGTGAAACACAGCATTTTAAGTTTTGAAAACCTGATAATGTCTGCAAATGTTTGTCTGCTCTTTAAGATCATTCATGATACTGCTGCTCTTCTGCTAAAACAGCTCTGAAACAACCTCCCAAGTCACTCAATCCACTGTGTGTGATGAGTGCAGGAGCCACAAACTCAGGACAAACTACAGCATGTTCTCCATCAGTGGAACATGTCACCGACAGAACTGATCACATGTACAAACTACAGCACGTTCTCCATCAGCGGAACATGTCACCGACAGAACTGATCACATGTACAAACTACAGCATGTTCTTCATCAGTGGAACATATTCCCAACAGAGCTGGTGAAACACATTCTGATTTTACGAACTATAACATTAACCTGCCCAGGGACGACAGGTGCAGATTAGCACTGGCGCTACAACCTGGTACAGTGCATCTCTCCTGTTAAGATTAATGTATACTGTGCACTGTCCCTGTCTCATTAAATAAATAAACCAAATAAACAAACAAACAAAAAAGTTCTAAAGAATGGGTTAAAACCTATCTTTGGAGATAATTCTCAGTTAAAATGCTGCATGCATCCACCAGAGTACAGAAAAATACACCTGTTTTGTGCAAAATCTGAGGACACCCCCCACCCCCCCAAAAAACAACCTTACAATGTTACCTCATACAAAGGTGTTATGTGTGGTGTGTAACATTCTAATTGCTTTATTAGAAGAGGAAAAAACAGAGGTAAAATGACCCAAAGCAAATGGCATTCAATAAAAGAATTAGGACTAAAACTTCACTTTTAAATGACTTTATTGGCAACTTTTGTTGGTTAATATATATGTATTGTCTCCCTTTTATGAGTGGGAGACAGGTTCAAGGTTAGGAATAAGTAGCCTGCCCCATGCCACAGACTCATAGTTTCATCTGAATGTCTTCACCTGAATGTATCTTTGAAAATGGATTAATGTTCTTATTTAGTTACCTCCGCCAAGGAGGTTATGTTTTTGCCGGCGTTTGTCTGTTTGTTTGTTTGTTTGTTTGTCTGTTAGCAACATAACTCAAAAAGTTATGGACCGATTTTGATGAAATTTTCAGGATTTGTTGGAAATGTGAAAAGGAAGAACTGATTTCATTTTGGGGGTGATCCGGAAGAAATCCTGGATTCTGGATCACTTTGAAATTTTAGTTAACATTGTGGTAAATGGGGCCAAAACTTTGTTTCTCAATATCTCAGTTAATTATTGACCAAACCCCATGAAATTTGACTCAGGGATGGACAATGGGATCCTCTTTCATATTCCAAAGGCTGATCCGGATCTGATCCAGAAGACTGATTTGATCGCAATTTATATAAAAAATGGGGGTAGTCCTTGGCGGAGGTCTGCGCTCTCTGAGTGCTTTTCTAGTTTTCTATGTATTTATTTCGACCATTGAGTCATTGTCAGTCCCCTCTGTGTACATGGCATAAATCATCCAACGCAGAGGGCATTCTCTCCAAATAGTGTGGGCGTGTGTTTGTGTGTCAAGGGGTGTGTCTTCTGCTCAAGAGACACATACAGCTTGGAGACGTCTGGAGACAGAAGGAGAGACACAAGAGAAGAGACACACAGCCTGGAGATATCTGGAGACACAAAGAGAGACACAAGAGAAGAGACAGAGACACATACAGCCTGGAGACGTCTGGAGACAGAAGGAGAAACTTAAGAGAAGAGACAAAGACACACACACACAGCCTGGAGACGTCTGGAGACACAAGAAGAGAGACAGAGACACATACTGCCTGGAGACGTCTGGAGAAACAAGGAGAGACACTAGAGGAGAGACAGAGACACATACAGCCTGGAGACGTCTGGAGACACAACGAGAGAGACACGAGAGGAGAGACACACAGCCAAAAACCAATAACATGTGGATTCCCCTTTGAGCTGCTACAGGTGCTCAGGTACTTCACTTTAATACTAGTATCTTTGCACGAATACTTTTCATGAAACTGTCTAGCGTACTCTACTCCCCCAGCACAGGCTTGTTGTTACGGAATTGCTGCATGTCATTGTTATTAATAGTGATTTTTGTAGGTTCAGAAGGGTTTTATTACAATTTGCATGTGTAAGCAACTGGAGTAATTTCTCTTGGAAGTAGTTTGTGTGTAGTATTTGTCAGTTGCACTTTTGTGTGTAATTGCATGATAAATGTATGAAAATAAGCATGGTAACTAAAAGTATGTGTTATCTGAAGCTAAGCTGGGTGCATGTGTACAGACGTAGCTTACCACCACAAATGTGGAGAGAATGAATAATGCACAAAACTTAGACTTTGACAAGATTTATAAATCTACACAGGAAATGACAGTAATTCACACATTACACAAAAATAACAAAGTAGGGTTGTCAAAAGAATAAAAAATCAGATACTAATGGATACTAAAACTAGATACTCATTTAAGCAGGTATTGATACTAAAAAAAAAAAAAAAAAAAAAAAAAAAAAAGTCCCATTGACAGGACAGAAATGAACCTTTCCTGACCAGCTTTAGAATGATCTTGGGCTGTGTCAGAACAAGTACAGCACATAGACCAGTACACACCCACGGACCACTATGGAACCTACCTGGACACACGTTACATAGATATAAGACCACATGGGAATAGAAAAGAAAGTACTACAATTTAATGTTGAAAATCACATTGCTGTTGTTGTGGTATTGAGTATTAAGTCTATTCTTTAGTATAAACAGCGTAGTATTGTAATACTACACTATGACAAAGAGTAAACATAAATGGCAAACAATTCAAAATGATTTAAATAGCAATATCTAGATAACAATTTGTATGGAATAAGGTACAAAAATACAAATTTCTTCTACTTTTTTTTTTTACTTTCCTAATGAGATACAGAGAAAGTGGGAGTTTTGATGACACGTTTTCATGTGTGAAACATAGTATGAATGCACTCCTGTATCGTTTGAGTGTTTGAAAGAGCACTGTACAAGATGCATGCATGGTCATAATATTGGAAGTTTAATTATGATCTCAAGACTTCAGTACTCTATACCAATTACAATACCACAAGGAAGATACATTTTTGAAGATTAAGATTTTTGGATACTTTTGACAACCCTAACCTAGTATGAAAGCTGGATGAGCAAACAGAAATGTCTATTCAATATTTTCTTGGTATAATGACACAGTGCATCTAACTGTATTCTTCATTATCCCATGCTATTTCCATTTATTTATTTCATCAATATTATGATTCATATTTTGTTACTAGGTTGGACTTGAGAGTGTCTGGGAGCCCCATTGTGTTGATGGCAGCCTCTTCCCTTGTGCTCTTGAGCATGCTGTTTGCATGTGCAGCATTTAACCTGGACCCCCTGGTGTCTGTAGTGAAGAGCGGGAGTGAGAGCTCTCTGTTCGGCTTCTCTGTGGCTCTGCACCAGGACATGAGCACTGGAGCATACAGGTGACCACCCACTTTCTTTTTGGGCAAAATTACACCAGACTGGCTATTTTGAGTCACACAGTTTTACCCCAGGATTACTGTTTGTACTGCATTTCTTTTCAGTTAGTTGTTTTGGAATTTAAGGTTAAAGGTATACTTTAATCAAGTCATCCTCACTTTTAGCTGAAGGGCTTGACCTGTTGTGCATGTTTGGGGTCGATAACCCCCATGCCTTCACACCACGGTGCTCACTGCTCCTGGACCCTTACATGTAAGGGTCCAGGAGCTAAACCACAGAGGTGGTCATGTGACATCCTCAGAGGACACAATGGTCACCCGGCTCTCCTTGGTCTCCATGACAACGGCCTGTTACTGCGCACTAATTAAATGAACACGCGGCTCGTCCCAATGACATCATAAGATTTCATGCTCAGACACAGAGCAGAGAGCAGCCTGAGGACACGCCCACTGTCACATTCATAAAGACATAAAGAATTACACACACACACATGAATTACACACACACATGAATTACACACACACATGAATTACGCACACACGTGAATTATACACATACATTAATTACACACATACAAAACAAAGAAACCAAATAATCGAACTTTAAACATTACATTTCAGACTGAAGGGCACATAGGATTGGACTGTTTTGGTCCTGTCCACCTATAGACATTCTTAAACAGTTTATTTATTTAATATGGACATAGCAAATCCATAGGATTAGAACCAAAGTATTGTTTAAAATGTTTATAATGCAACGTGATCATAGAACTCATGTTAAACAAACCATGCTCCAGTGGCATTACTATTCCACATGCCACGTATTGATGACTCCCACAACATAAATACATTATATTTGTTTATGTGTAGTAGTAGCAGTAGCAGTAATAGTAGTAGTGGTAGGAGTAGTAGTAGTGGGTAGATTCCCAAAGCCTTGTATGGTGATGGGTAGGCCCGTCATGATAATGCATTTTAAAGCATGACTTATTGCTTCAGAGATATACTGCGCTAAACAATAACACTGAAACAATTTTATGCCTCTGACACTAAAGCAACAAAGCAGGAGAATCCCAATGAACAAATATCTATATACAGAAACATTAAAAGGCCCAAATAAAGAGAAAGATGAAGCAATAATTAACCACAGAAGTGCCTTATCCAAACCACCACAGATCAGATCTTTTTGTATTACATCAAAATTTAGGGATGTACTGATCCAGTTTTTCAGTTCTAATACTGATTCCGATACTATGACTTTAAAGATCTGCTGATCGCCGATATCAGCCGATGCTGTACAGAGGCTAGAACCAGCATTTGTTTCCTTAAAACAAAAATAAAGATAAATAATCCAAATGTACAGGCAATCAATACTGAGCAACAAAATATAGATTTCCATCTTTCATGTATTGAAGGATACATTAGTATAATTAGTATAATTACTGTGACCTAGTGATGAGTGTATCCTGAGTATGCCCTGCTATCTGCTGTACCCTCTGTACTTCTGTTTTGTTGATATTCTGTGGAAGAATAAATGAGTCACATGACCCACAGCCAAGGGCAGGAGTGGAATAAATGCAAAACAAGAGTACGTCCTCTATGTGACATTGTCTGTGATGGGCTATGTCTCCTCCTGTGTGCCCTCAATGGGGCAGCGCACACACTGTTCTTCTCATCACCACTCATCTCATCTCTGCTCATCTCATCTCTGCTTATCTCACCTCTGCCCGTCTCATGTCTGCTCATCTCATCAGTGCAGTCGTCTCATGTCTGCTCGTCTCATCTCTGCTCGTCTTATGTCTGTTCGTTTCATCACTGCAGTCGTCTCACGTCTGCTCGTCTCATCAGTGCAGTCGTCTCACGTCTGCTCGTCTCATCAGTGCAGTCGTCTCATGTCTGCTCGTCTCATCTCTGCTCGTCTCATGTCTGTTCGTCTCATCAGTGCAGTCGTCTCATGTCTGCTCGTCTCATCTCTGCTCGTCTCATGTCTGTTCGTCTCATCAGTGCAGTCGTCTCACGTCTGCTCGTCTCATCAGTGCAGTCGTCTCATGTCTGCTCGTGTCATCTCGGCAGTTGGCTGAAACTGTCTCATCACTGTCAGACCCAGGGCAGCTGTAGCTCTGCTGGTGCCTTACCATCCCAAGTGTTGTGAATCAAAGTGCTTGCCATGTTCCGCTAGGTTTATCATGCTGATCACATTTGTGCTATGTTATGGTGCAGTATGATCTAAGAACAAATAGAGAAGTACATATTCAGTTTCAGCCCAATACATGATGAAATAACAAATTTTAAACACTTTTAAATTATGTCATTAATTATGTAATTAAATCATGTTGACCCTCCCAAATCTGTCATCTTAATTCATTTTGGTTAATCCTAATTTGATATGTTCAATTACCGCTTCCCCTGTTCTCTCTTTGTATCTCCTAAAAGTCTCCAAGATTTTTAGCAGGGGAAAGACAGGAAATAAACACGCGGTGTCAAAATAAACTTCCAATGCCCTTTCAAAATAACTCAACCAAAGTCAAGACAACGACGTAAACAACGCGCTCTTCATCCAAGGAAAGGTTAATAATGGACGACGAAAAGTTAATCCTCGAAGTGGAGAAATATAACGTGATTTACGATGTCAGACACCAATTCTACAAGGACTCAGGACTAAACCAGGACTAAACCAGGACCAGGACTCACTGTCTGAATGTGCTCGGAGGTCCTTCCGTGTAGACCCGAGTGACCGCAAGCGAAAGGACCGGTGCAGAGCTCGGAGACAAAGAGGTACGTGCAGCCGTCGCTCTTTTCGGACACCTGCTCCGCGAGGCTCAGGGTTCGCTTTCTCTCTCTCCCTCTCCAAGATTAGTCCTGGTTTAGACCTGGTTTAGACCTGGTTTAGTCCTGGTTTAGTCCTGACCCGCCCTTAAAAGTCCAGAACGTTAAAACTCGCCCGTCTCAGCAACTATTTGCCCGTATCCTTCGGTGCAGGACTCTGTATCAGTATATAAACGTATAGGCCTTATTACCTGTACGGACATGACATAATGTTTGTTAATTATAGGTGATTTTACCTTATTAAAGAAAAAAGACTGAGGTGTTTAATTTGCGTGCTAATAGATTTAAATCTCATTAAACACAAACGCATTGCAGTTGTACACTTAATACACATTCTAACTTAATACACTTTAACATAAAACAAAAGATAAAAAGCAAGTACAAAATGTGATGTCTGAAAACAGTGAGAAGATGTGCAGGCTGCATAGTGTGAATTGAAACTTTGAAATTTACGCGTACGCGCAGCTCCGCCTACGTGAAGCGCTGCTGCAGCTCCTGGTGTGAATTCGGGGTTAGACCAAAGCACTGGTCCATTGCTTCACCATCTTTGTACCACTCTTCCTCCCCTAAAAGCCCCAAAAACAACAATAACCCAAGAACCCAATAACCAATGATAATTAAATTGGACTTTGGCTGCTGCGTCATCATCATCATGTATTTGTGCCACAGGCTATGGAGGCACAAATTCATTTTATTTGAACAATTTCATCTCATTCAATTTGTGGAGTATAAATGTCATTTAACTGCCTATATTCAATCTTTAACCAGATATTTCTGACCAGTGTAGTCTTTTATATGTTAATGATAATACAATGAGCAACAGTCTTATTTTGTTATGCCAATATATAGTCCATACTACAGGGGACTATAGAGGCTCGCTATAGTCTCCTGTATTAATGGGAAACACTGAGATATAATTAAGGATAAAAGTCACATCAGCTTTTTTTACAAGGTATATTTTGGAAAATTACCAATTTGAGAATTATCACCTTCACAATAGAGGTTGGGTGGTTGGGGTGTTCTGTCAGGAGCAGAAGGAGACTGTAGTGCAGTGCCTGGGGACACATCTCCAGATCAACAGCTACTGTTTATCTATATAGAGATCTGAGCTCTCATTTCTAAAGCATTTCTAATTGTTATGGGGAAACTAGTTGTGTGGCTTATAATTGTTGTGACCACCAGGGGGCATCGGTAAGAATGCACGATGAGATGATGGAGTTTATGCCTTTATTAAAACGTTGAACTCGTGTGGGTGTGTATGTGTATTTGTGTGTGGTCTTCTTTCATACGCACACGAGACCCCACACCCGCGAGCTCCACACGACGCACTGAAAAACAACCAAAAACACGTAGCGCTGTCAACCAAACCCAAACACGACAACATCTGATTGGCCATGATATCTGTCAATCAAACATCCGGCAGAATATATTATGTCCTTCGACACAGCCGCCCCCAAATTTGTCCAGCAAATTTGACACTTAAGAAGGACTGGCTGGGTCAGAGTCAGTGTTGGGGATGGCTGGCAGAGCCACCAGACGTGCAACAGGTCTCATATAGGTCTTGTTCTTGACCCGAACCTCAGCAGCTCGCACACGTCCATCATGTCCAGGGAGAACTTTGGTAACCACACCAACTGGCCACAGGGCTCTCGGTAGCTGAGGGTCTATCACCATAACTGTGGTTTTAAGTTGCAGCTGTGCTGGGTCCTTATGCCATTTAGAGCGTGTCTGAAGGGTAGGAAGGAAGTGCCTGATGAAGTGAGCCCAGAACTGATCTGCTAACACTTGACTGTGCCTCCAGCGACGTCGGCTTAACAGCTCAGCATCCTCATAAACAGCCTGCGGCAGAGAGGGGTCAAGCCGCCCCATGAGGAGAAGATTGGGGGTCACGGGATCGGGATCTGCCACATCTGTAGAAACATAACCCAATGGCTTGGAATTTAAGATCCCTTCTACTTCTATCAGGACAGTCCTCAGGACTTCTTCTGGAACTGACTGAGTCTGGATAGCTGCATAAAGAGCAGCCTTGACAGATTTTATCTCTCTTTCCCATACACCACCAAAATGTGGTGCGTTTGGTGGGTTAAACTTGAACTGTATTTGGTGCTTAGCCAACCGAAGTGCAGGCTGTAGTGTTCCAAAGGCCTCTCTGAGCTCCCACTCTCCTCCTTTAAAATTTG